ATACACTCCAATTGATGAAGCAAACTCGTCCTATTACTGGCTCGTTGTGTATCTTACTGGCTTTAAAATGGGTAATATGAGCATAATCTTATATCTCATAAGTGTTAACCATAGGATGTGTAGAAGGATTCTGATAAAATTTGTCACCGAGAGTTTATTAATTAATAATACACCAAAGGATATCACATCAAAAATAGAGTAGGAGCAATTTCTTATGCTAGTCCTCCATTGATGATGTGGATAAAATCTTGGCAATTATGAAAAAGAAGCAATTCCTGGTGTTTATCCTCTACTTAGGTTGATATGATTAATTTGACTGCGTAAGACAGTTTAAGTTTAGATTGCAATAAAATTGTAACTAACTTTACTGGGATTTCGATTTCATGTTTTTAATCGTTTAAAAAATTTTAAGAAAGTGACAGGCGATGCAGCGAACTACACGTCATCATATTAAACATGCGCATTAACAACGCAGATTGTATTCTCTTCAACTGAGTAAACTCTAACGCCTCGGCCACAAACATCCTCGACTACTATTTCTTTAATTTTATAGGTTATAGAAGCTCGGCTAATGTCTCCTCAACGAAATACACACCTAGGATACATGAACTTTGCGTGATCAGTAAAAAAAATTTCGTAGCGTGGTACTTGACAGCACTCACTGGTCAAAATAATAAACTTTATGAGAACTAAAGCTATGTACCACCGCCTTTTTAAAAAACATTGTGCAGAAATGGGATCTGAACACGAAATACTACTCTACTATACAGAAATACGGTGGTTATCAAGAGGACATGTTTTGATTTTTTTGAAACAAAAATATATACATTTTTGGATAATGACAATTTTTTGCAAGTGCAGAAGTCACCATCGTCGATGCTGCTGAACAACTCTAGAGAATGGATGCAGGTATAACTGCAAATTTTTCTATGATAGAAGAACTGCTCTCACATAGTGCAGGAAAAACTGGAAAAATCTTCATTATCAGCTGAAATAAAATTCAAAATGAGATTTCAATACACCTCGAAACAATGCAGAATTCGTTTGATGGGTATTTTTGCCCAAAAAATTTTAAGCAGGTGATAATATGTGTGCGAAGTCCGATTACCGACCGGTTAGGAAACAAACTATGTCGTTATTAGTATCGTTTGATACTACATATATTTGTGTGGCGGGATTCTTAAAATCGGAACCGATTATACATGAACATGATATGCGTCTTGCGTTATCTAAGACCTATCTAAGCACCATCTCATTAATTTTATTTTTTACTGTAGCAATAAATATTAATTGCTAATTGCTTTAATGGTGTAGATTGTAGCAGCTAGGCTAATATCTTTTTAACAAAGTAAACTCTACTATAATTTTATGTTGCAGATTATAGCAAATTTGCTAACATTTCTTTAATAGAATACACTCTAGCGCCTCGCCCGCAAGCGACCTCGGTTACTATTACTTTAAAGCTGTTGATTGTAGTAGCTACGCAAATATTTCTGTAACAAAGTAAATTCTATTGCCTCGCCCGCAAGCGACCTCGGCTATTATTTCTTTAATGGTGTTGATTGTAGCAGCTAGACTAATATCTTTTTAACAAAGTAAACTCTACTAACTATTTTATGTTGTAGATTATAGCAAATTTGCTAACATTTCTTTAATAGAATACACTCTAGCACAGCGATGCACAGACTTAGAAAGACTAGGGGCCACTCGGGCAAATCATGAACTGATGGCGGGCAGCCAGAAGTATAGGTAATTAAAGACAATAAAGAATTGTTAATAATGTATTAAAATTGAAAAAGAATTTATTAATTTGAAACGTGGCACAGCATAGTGCTTACAATCTTTTTTATATTTGGCTCAAATTTACTTGTAGCAACACGTAAAACTGCTTCCAAACTATCATTTGCAAGGCGGTTTCGATTTTTTGTTTTATTATTATTTAGTATTGAAAAAGTTTGTTCACATATATAGGTAGAACCAAATAAGCTGGCACATTTCAGAGCGTTTATGCGCAACTCTTTGTACATATTTTTATCAATGCAGCGGTAAAAGTTCTGCAAGTCTCCTTCGTTGAATTTGTTGCGTAAATCTTGGTCGTTTTGAATGTCGATAATTTCTAACTGCATTGACTCTGGCGCATTTTCAACTGAAATCGTGAAAGGATTGCTGAATATGTCCAACAGAGGTTTCACTTTTTTAAACTCCGAAAATCTGTCTTGAAAAGATTGAATCAAAATATCTAGCTTTTCTACATAACTGAAATTAATCGCAGTTTTGTTGAATTTTTTAGCCATTTTCTTATAATTCGGAAAATGATTGTAATTTCCAGAATTCAATTGCGATCTGAAAAGTGTCAGCTTGCTTTGAAAGGATGATACATGAGCGTAGAGCTGGGATATCAGTTGATTTTTGCCTTGAAGCCGTGTGTTCAAGACATTCAAATGATTTGTAATGTCAACTAAAAAAGCCAAATCACACAACCAATCAGGATTGTTAAGTTCCGGGACATCCTTTTGCTTTTCCGCCAGAAATATTCCAATTTCTTCTATTAAATTTAGAAATCGTTCCAGTGTCAATCCACGACTTAGCCACCTTACTTCTGTATAATACAGTAAATCTCCATATTCGCTTTCGATGTCATCAAGGAATTGTTTGAATTGCCTGTGATTGAGTCCTCGTGATTTTATGAAATTTACAGTCGAAACTACCACTTTCATGACATTTTGAAATTCAATTTTTTTAGAACAGAGGGCTTCTTGGTGTATAATGCAGTGAAACTGCATGAGATCTTCAGCGTTTATGTTTTTTTCTTGCAGATGCTTTTTCAGCAAAGTAACTAGCCCGGAATTGACACCAATCATCGAAGGAGCACCGTCAGTCGCAACTCCCGATAATTTTGATAAGTCCAAATCAGTTTTTGAACACTCATCCAAAAGTACATTGAGTATATCAACTCCTTTGGTTTGACCTTTCAATGAACACATTCCTAATAACTCTTCTAAGACTTCAAAATCTTGAGTAACACCTCGTATGAATATGAGAAGTTGAGCTGTGGAACTAATATCAGTGGATTCGTCGAGTGCTAATGAAAAAAATTCAATGATCTTAGTTTTTTCAGTTAATTGTTCCGCAATATTACCTGACAAAGACATAATTCGTCTTTGGATAGTCATACGATTCAGTTGAATTTTCTCAAACTTTTTTGCTGCTTCTGGACACATTTTCTTAGCGGCAATTTCTATGCATTCTTTTACAAAATCCCCATCATTGAAGGGGCGACTTCGCTTTGCTATCATTCGAGAAATTTCATAACTAACTTCTGTAGCTGTTTCTGAATCTTGAATGGGTTTTATAAACATAGCTTGCTGACCAATAAGCTCCCGTCTCAGTTTTATGGACGTCGCTCACAATATCAAAAGAAACAAAGTACGAAGAATATTATTTTTGCTGTCGGCGGGCCACCAGTATTCGACCGGCGGGCCGCGGTCTGTGCATCTCTGGTGTAGATTGTAGTAATACGCTGATATCTCTTTGACCAAATAAATTCTACTGCCTCGGCCGCAAGCGACCACGGCAACTATTTCTTTAATGGTGTTGATTGTAGTAGCTACGCTAATATTTCTGTAACAAAGTAAATTCTATTGCCTCGGCCACAAGCGACTTCGGCTACTACTTCTTTAATGGTGTAGATTGTAGTACTACGCCAGTATCTCTTTGACCAAGTAAATTCTGCAGCCTCGGCAGCAAACGACTTCGGCTACTATTTCTGTAACGGTGTTCATTGTAGTAGCTACGCTAATATCTTGTTAACCAAATAAATTCTACTGCCTCGGCTGCAAGCGACCTCGGATACTACTTCTTTAATGGTGTAGATTGTAGTATTACGCTAATATCTCTTTGACCAAATAAATTCTACTGCCTCGGCCGCAAGCGACCACGGCAACTATTTCTTTAATGGTGTTGATTGTAGTAGCTACGCTAATATTTCTGTAACAAAGTAAATTCTATTGCCTTGGCCACAAGCGACTTCGGCTACTACTTCTTTAATGGTGCAGATTGTAGTAATACGTTAATATCTCTTTGACCAAATAAATTCTACTGCCTTGGCCGCAAGCGACCTCGGCTACTATTTCTTTAACGGTGTTGATTGTAGTAGCTACGCTAATATCTCTTTGATCAAATAAATTCTACTGCCTCGGCCGCAAGCGACCTCGGCTACTATTTCGTTAACGGTCCAGATTGTAGAAGCTACGCTAACATTTGTTTAACAAAATAGATTTAACTGCCTTTGCCGCAAGCGACCTCGACTACTATCAATTTAATGGTTTAAATTGTAGTAGCTATGCTAATATCTCTTCGACAAAGTAAATTCTGCTGCCTCGGCCGCAAGCGACCTCGGCTACCATCATTAGATTGTAGCAGCTACCCTAATATCTCTTTAAAAATTATAATAATCTTTTGTAAACGTTTGATGGAAACTTTGTCTTATTTTTAAGAAATAACTGATTATTTTATCTTTTAAAGATGCTATTAATAACTAAAAATATTCAATTACAAAATGATCCGTGTTTTGTATAGCAACCAACGAAAAAGGTATAAAACGAAAACAAAATGATTTGTCCCGGATGGAAATTTACAACGGCAAACAGAAATCCAATGCATTCATATGGCGTTTTGTGCCCGGAGTCGGAATAAAGCCGCCCCCTCCGGGTGATATACGGTTCTCCTCCCATTTTTGCGCTCTTACACGAGACGAGTTTTCCGGAAAGAGGCACGACCCGATTTTCCCCTGAAAATCCACCATCCTACTTCCGCGCCACCCTACCTTTCAATCATTACCTTACTATACCAGCACCAAATCCAATATAACGGCATTTAATATTCCTTTCCTATCTACGGTTCACCCTTCCGAATCCCTCCTCTCTTTCGCTTTACAAACCCCTTCATCGTACATACGTCGGCTTTGATGCGCTAAAACGGCCTTATGTTACCGTTTTCAGAGGAGGATTACGATGCTTTCTGCCTCGCCTATATGTTCACCTACAGGGATTTTGAGATGGGTACACTGGGACTTGCGTGGACCGGGGATTTAAAAAATGCTGGTGGAGTTTGCGAAAAAAACGGGGTAAGTCTTTTAATTTCATTTTGTTTTATTGATCTCAATGTTTTCTCTATCTGATAATTACATTACCGTACAATTTCAACGCAGAGTTACCGCAATAAGTCGTATTTACCCTAGATTCCAGTTTCTCTACTTGAACGTGGTTATACGGTACCGTGAGCCACTTGTTTACTTCCGGGTAGGTATATGAAGAGAAGAGAGAACGTTATTGCTTATACGAAACGATGGTGGTGATGATGATATCGGCCTTAATTGCTGCTGCTCCCGTTTGTTTACGCTACTCCCTACGTTCTAATTGTGTCCTAATTGAATTGGTTTTCTATTATTATTTTGTGCGCTATTCAGCATCCACATCATACTATAAAAGCAGAAATAATACGAAAATTAGATAATAATTAATGTTATTATTATTCGTGTATATTGAGTTGCAGAAATCTAATTTTTTTTTAATAAAAATTAAAGAGGATTCGTTGGGGTGGAAATGAAAATAAATGGAGGTTGCTATCAATCGGGGTTTGGTTGGTTGATGGGGGTTTGTGATTCCTCTTTTGAGAGCGTCGCGTCGTCATCTCCGTTCCGGATTTTGTTTCCATTCTCATTAAAACGAGCCGCGGGTTCGGCGGGGCGCCGAGTGTCAATTAGTCGTGATTGCGAGACCGAGCCGGAACGGAATTAATTATAATTTCACGGCCGTCCGAGCGCATAACCGGCTCATCTTCGATTAATGACCGAAGCCACCATCGAAACCACCCTCTAACAAATTTAAGAGCGCATCATTTATTGTGAAAATTTTAAACAAAACCTAAAAAAGCCGATTGGTGTGAATCAAATTAGCTCTAATCTACTAAAAACATTTTTGGGATACTTAATCAAGAAGAAAAATTAAAAAAAAATTATTTTGGCGATTTTTGAAATTGCCCAAATGTACAAGGAATTAAAGAAAGTTGATTGGTGTTTGTCAAAACACTTCAAATCGATTTAGAATGTTTTTAGGTTACTTAATAAAAACGATAGGGGTTAAAAAAATTATTTGGGATGTTTCCCAGAAGATTCAAAAATTTTAAAATATAGAAAAAGCTGATTGGTGTGAATCAAATTAGTTCTAATCTACTAAAAAGATCTAGTATACTTAATCAAGAAGAACAAAATTAAAGAAATTTAACTTAATTTTTTGATTTAGTATTAATTTTAAGATAAAATTTGTCAAGATAAAAATTGAAATGTTTCTCCTTAATTTCCAAGAGTTAGTTGGGAACATCCCACAGATAAACCTCATAAATTTAAGTTGTACTTTAGGAACTTTAGGATCTCTGGAACTTCGATTAATTTTTCTTTTTATTAATCGAACATTTTTTAATTAAAACAAATAAAACTAAATCAAACTCTTTTTTAATTCCCATTTTATCTCCGCCTCTTCCTTCTCTTTACAAACTCCTGGTTGGAGAGAACGCGACGGCCGCCGTAATAAATTCAAAGCCCCCGGTTTAATTAACACGTTTAATTTTCAGCACTACAGGGGCAGCCTGAAGTCTCTCAACACGGGCATAGTGACCCTGTTGAATTATGGCAAGCACGTGCCCCCGGCCGTCTCCCACGTAACCTTAGCGCATGAAATCGGTCATAATTTTGGATCACCGGTAAGATTTCTTCCATTAATATCAATTAATTAATAATTCAAATTCAATATTTTTATTATTAAATCAGCACGATCCGGTTAATTGCACTCCAGGAGGCGAAGATGGAAATTTTATTATGTTTGCAAGGGCCACATCGGGGGATAAAAAAAATAACAATCATTTTTCACCGTGCAGTTTAAAAAGTATTAATCCGGTTTTAAATTTTAAAGCTAGATCACCAAAAGGATGTTTTACAGGTAATTATTATTATTTTTTTAAACTTCCAGTACACACTTTAGAACTAATACTAAATCTGAAACTAGAAACGTTCAGTCAATGTTTATAATTCTAGGAATATTGTTAGTTCTAATTTTAGTTAAACAAAAATGTACAGAAATCTAGCATTGAATAACAATTAAAACTAGAACTAACAGTAGACGTAGAACTAGAAACATTCGAATTTAGCCGCACGTCTTTTAAGATTAAGAATGATTCTAGTTCTAGATCTTGTGTTAGTTCTAGTGATAATGCAAGTGTAAAACTAGAACTAACACAAGAAACTCAAATCATTCGGGTTTAGCAGTCTTGAGAGACGTGTTACTAAACCCAAATGTCGAAACCCTAGTGTTAGTAGTTCTAGCTTTAGTTTAACAAAAATATACAACAATTTAACGCTAAATAACAACTAAAACTTGAAGGATTAAATTTGAAATTAAAGAAATGTCATAAGTAATGTCAAATTGTTTATTACGAAAAATTTAATTAATAATCTATAAAATCATTGAATTATAACATAAAAATTATTTAATTTAATTAAAAATAGTATAGAATTAAATTTTCATATAAATTAACTAATTTTAATTAAATTAAAATTTAAAACATTAATTATTATGGTATAAAACGTCACTCATAGATGTCGCCACTAGTGCTGCCAACTTAAATTATTTTTTGACATCTGTCAAAATTTAAAAAAAAATTTTATTTCAATTTTTTTATAGAACCTCAAACATCTCTTTGTGGAAATGGGGTTGTTGAAGAAGGAGAAGAATGCGATTGCGGTTGGGAAGGTGATTGTAAAGATGATTGCTGTTGGCCCCAACGCAAAATCGTCCCCATCGATGAGCCCCCGTGTCGATTACGAGGAAGAAGTATTTGTAGTCCTTCCCAAGTATTGTTATTTAATTTGTTTAAATTAATAAGTTTTGATTAAAAAATTTTTGTTTTTAGGGTCCTTGTTGTACCTCAGACTGCCAATTAAAATTCGGAAATAAATGTAGGGACGATAACGGATGTAGAGACGCCAGTTTTTGCGATGGACATGGTCCTAAATGCCCCCCATCGATAAATAAGCCAAATAAAACGATTTGTAATGAGGAATTTGTTTGTTTTATGGGGGTATTTACGAGTACTTGTTGTTTTATTGCTTTAACTAATTTATTGTTGTTGTAGGAATGTACCGGATCGATTTGTTTAGCTTATGGGTTAGAATCTTGCCAATGTACGCCAAGTAAAGATGATAAAACGAAAGCTTGCGAGCTTTGTTGCAAACTTCCCGGGGAGAATCAACCGTGCATTTCAAGTAAACAATGGAATAAACCCCCGTATGATGTTCCTGATATGAATTCAAAGCCGGGAACTCCCTGTAATGATTATAACGGTTATTGTGACGTTTTTCAATTATGCAGGGAAGTTGATCCTTCTGGTCCATTAGCTACATTAAGGAAAATGTTGCTTTCTGAGGAGAGCATCGCTAGTTTTAAGCGATGGGTTATGGATTATTGGTACGCGGTTGCTTTAATTGTTTTAACCGTTGTTGGATTATTGGTAAGTTAATTTTTTTGTGCCTTATTTTACTTAATTTACCGTTAAAATTAGATTAAAACTTTTCTTGTTCTCCATCTTTACGAAAAAAGTGAGTTCTTAAGCTAGAACTGATTAACACGTTGACTGCCATGAGAAGCAACAGTTGATTCTCATGTAGGTTTACTTTTAAAAGCCAAATGCAATTCAAAATACATGCCTGAAATCAATTTTTGAATTAAGTTTAAACGTCAATGTGACACAAATTCAATGTTACCAACTGTAACCAACTTCACAACAATTTGTGAAAATTAAATGTCAATTTTATGAAACGTCATGGTTTTTTTTTACGAAAATTAATTAATTTATGGTTAAATAATACGAAAAAAGGAATTTGTTTCCTTTTGTTAATGTTAAACCTTTAGGAAGTCCTAAAAAAATTAAATTAAATTGACGTTTTTTGAAAATTGACCATTAAACGTTTCTGGGGTTCTGGCCAAAATAAAAATTTGAGAATTCAGACTTACAATGATACAATGTAGTCTACATACACCCCAGAAAATGATAATATCTCACCTCCTGAAATGTAATTAATTGAATTTTTTAAACGTAGGATATTAGAAGTCTATATTATTTGAATAAAAAGTTCGACTTGTGCTACGAAGTGAAGGCTACAGCAGTAGATTTTGCCGCACGTCTCTCAAGATTACTAAACCCGAATTATTCTAGTTCTAGGTCTTGTGTTAGTTCTAGTGATAGTGCAAAACTAGAACTAACACTAGATCTAGAACTAGAAACATTCGGATTTAGCCGCACGTCTCTCAAGACGGCTAAACCCGAATTATTCTAGTTCTAGGTCTAGTGTTGGTTCTAGTTTTAGTTCAATAAAAGTATACAACATAATGATATCTTATGCTAACTTATATAAGTTAACCCTTTGCACTCGTATATACGTCCTTTTGTGAGTACACTGTACTCGGACTATTATTTTATCTACTTATCTGTCTACTCGGAATTTTTTTTATATGGGATTTTTTTGAATGCGCTAATTTTGCTTAGTAAATACGCTTAGTGTAAAAACAAAATAAAAATTTGGGAAAATTAAAAAAAAATCGCTTAATGTTAAAACTGTGGGATGTTTTTTAAAAAATATTTTTTTATGCAGATGTTTATTCAAATTAAACACAATAATATATTACAATTATATCATGAAAAATAACTAAATAAAAAACAATGGCTTATAAAAATAATAAATCTTGAGGATAGAGAAACACAAATAAAACCTAACATTATCATAATCACTACCATTATCATTAAATAAATTTATACACAATATAAAAAAATTACGTTTTATAATGTTGTAGTGTATGGTACCGTTCGAACCAGTCACCAATATGTAGTCCAGGCTTACGGGTGCAAGTGTCACAAATATACCTAGTTTCCCGCCTGCCGCCTTGTACTTTACGGTTAGAACATACCGCACAGTCTTTTTTCTTCCCATCATTTTGGCGTAAAATATGCAATTTACCATTTAGCCGCTGTTTTGTATCTACAGATGATGGTCTGCCAGAAGTTTTGAACCCCTGCCGAAAGTTTCCCGAACAAACTTTAGATGTGTCATTGGTTTTTTGTTTTGGCCCCGTTGTGAAATTTTATATAATAAATATGCATTGACACTGGACATTTCGAGTCCCCAGAAAAATAACTTTCGCCACCACTTCAAAGAATTCCTCAGGAAACAGTATGACGCTGAATAAGAGTCTGCGTGGTCGACACCTCCCATAACTGGCTTATTTACAACTTGTAAGTTACCTCCACGTACTCTTCTGTTGATAGGCTGTGTTCCTGAAATATCCCACGAAGTAAGTGTGGTGACGACCCTTTTATCTTTCCATGCCAATAATATCAAATTACCTGATCTGCATGCAAATGTGTTATCTTCGGCAAATGTTGATTTTTTGATAGAATCAGGTATAAATTTGCGGTTTATTTGTCAAATGAACATTTAGTTTTAACAACTCTTCTACAAGTGGCAAGCTCGTATAGTATCTATCGGTGTCAAAATGATATCCTTTACATCCTGGGTTATTGTTTAATAATTTTTGACAAAGATGAAAAATTATCCTTGTTTTCCAGGTAAATCAGGTCTCACTAAATCTTCCGATGTCAAGCTTCCGTAGTACGGCAAAATTGAATAAACATACCTGGTGTTAGCATCCGCCATTACATAAATTCTTATCCCCCATTTCGTAGGCTTGTTAGGGTTGTAAGTTAAAAAACTAATTTTACCCTTAAATCCAACAACAGATTCGTCTACCGATATCTCTCTTGATGGAACAAAATGTTCTTTGAATTGTTTGTCCAAATAATCTAAATAGTGACTGACTTTCTGAGTTCGAGCCCTAAGAGTTTGGTCATTTGGATCGTTTTCATGCAAGTGGAGCATCCAAAATATTTGTAAAAATCGTTCTCTTCTAAATATACTACTAAAAAAAGGTATTTTGGCATTAAACTGTTGTGACCAATACTCATGGATATTAGATACGGTTATCGGACCCATATTTAGGACAACCCCAATAAATGCGGTAAACTCTTCTACTGTAATCTACCCACGTGTGCCATGTAGAACGTTTTGACAACCTCTTCTGTGCTATTTTATGTCTAGCGTAGTTATTTGTTATTGTTGCACTATTTTTATTATTAGCTCATCGGTAAAAAAGAACTTGAAAAAATCTATGAGTTTTGTACAAGTATCTGGAATTTGTGGTCCTACCATTTAATCCCCAGAAGTAAATAGAATCCTGTCTGGTACCTGATCGTGGCATGTGACGTCCTGCCATGGACCAAAATTACCAGGTTGTGTTATATTCTCGTCTTCTACACTGCTGCTTGAACTTGATGGTAAAGGTATGGTTCTCTGTCTTTTAGTAACTATAATATCACTACCACTACTAGAGTCACTTTCTTCACTAATATTATCACTATCCAATCTATCATTTTCAGGCGCGTTTAACATGGTGTGCCGCCTATACGGCAACATACGAGCGCAACGGTAAAACGCATCTTGCCGCTCCTACGACGACATACGAGTGCAAAGGGTTAACTTATATAGTTTTTATGTAAAATATGGAAATAATATGGACTTCTTACATGTTTTGTTAAAAAATTTCATTGAATTACACTTCGGGAGTTGAGATATTATCATTTTCCGGGCTAAAATATTTTCATATTTCCAGCACTTCCGGTTACATACCGGAAGTCGCCACCAACTTTAGTTTTTTAATTGGAACACCCTGTATGTTTTTACATATTTGGATTTGTCTGTTTTCAAGGTTTTATGAATAACTTTACTTTTTGCAATTTAATCCAGCCATTCTCGAAGTTTTCTAGAAAAATCTGCTCCTTCAGACATTTGTTCAAAAAATCATAGAACAATCGATTTTTGGGATATTAGTTTAGGACTCAGCATATGCTTAAGCTACATGATGGAGTATCTTTTGGTGCCGAGAACGGCTGTCTAGAACGTTTGGCCACTTTACTATGGTACATTAATTTTTCGACATTTGGAAGTACCATAACTTCAATTTTTATATTTATGGGTATCCCCCATGTTTTTTATATCCCATATGTGCCATACCTAACCATTAATAGTTTGAATATATGGATATTTAGCCTAGTGTGCCATGATGGGGCAGTTATTGATGGATTTCTTATTAAAAATGAAGTGTTTGATGAAGTTTAATTGTATAGATTTGAAATTGTAATTAAATTTTTTGTACAAAATTGAAGTTTTGACGTTGATTTATATGTTAGATTAATCTCCGTTGACATTAAATTTTCGGATATTGAGGAATGTTATGGATGATATTGAGGCAAGCTAAAGTTGATATTAGAGACTCTTATGGATGATATCGTAGAAAACCATGAATGATGTTGAGGAAAAGCAGGGATGATGTTGAGGAATATTATGGATGATGTTGGAACGATATTGAGGAATGAGGATGATATAAATGAAGTTGAAGGCGCTAAGGAAGGACGTTTTTGAAGAATGTTGTAGACAGAACTTGTAGAGCAAGCCTAGGAGGATGTAAAAGAAGGTTAAGGAGGATTAGGGATTAAACAGAAGGGACTCTTAAGAATCTCAAACGGATGTCATAAACTATGTAGAGGAAGATTGATATTTGTACAATAAGAACTAGGAATGATGGCGAAGAATATTACAGGCGATCTTGAGGAATGCCACGAACAATATTAAAGGATGGAGGGAAACTAAAACGATATTGAGGAATGTTGAGAAATGCTAAGGACAATATCAAAGGATATAAAATTAAAATTGCTTTATTCACGAATTCACTCTTTCATTCACTTGCAACATGGATAATTTCCTAAATGTCAAGGGAGGTTGAGGATGATATTGAGGAATGTTATGATGTTGAAGTAAGCCAAGGATGATATTGGTGGAGATTATGGATGATGTTGTAGACTGTCATAGATGATGTAGAGGAAGGACGATATTGAAAAATATCACAGACAATTTTGAGAGAGCCCAAGGATGATGTTATCTCCTTCAATATTGGATGTTGAGAGGAATTGCTAAGGAAAATGTTGAGGACAGTTTTTGATGGATTTTTCGGTATTTCTTATTAAAAATGAAGTGTTTGGTGAAGTTTAATGGTATAGATTTGAAATTGTAATTAAATTTTTTGTACAAAATTGAAGTTTTGACGTTGATTTATATGTTGATTAATCTCCGTTGTGTTGACATTAAATTTTCGGATATTGAGGAATGTTATGGATGATATTGAGGCAAGCTAAAGTTGATATTAGAGACTATTATGGATGATATCGTAGAAAACCATGAATGATGTTGAGGAAGAGCAGGGATGATGTTGAGGAATATTATGGATGATGTTGGAACGATATTGAGAAATGAAGATGATATAAATGAAGTTGAAGGCGCTAAGGAAGGACGTTTTTGAAGAATGTTGTAGACAGAACTTGTAGAGCAAGCCTAGGAGGATGTAAAAGAAGGTTAAGGAGGATTAGGGATTAAACAGACGATCTTAAGGATCTCAAACGGATGTCATAAACTATGTAGAGGAAAATTTAATTGATATTTGTACAATAAGAACTAGGAATGATGGCGAAGAATATTACAGGCGATCTTGAGGAATGCCACGAACAATATTAAAGGATGGAGGGAAACAAAAACGATATTGAGGAATGTTGAGAAATGCTAAGGACAATGTCAAGGGATATAAAATTAAAATTGCTTTATTCAAGAATTCACTCTTTCATTCACTTGCAACATGGATAATGTCCTAAATGTCAAGGGAGGTTGAGGATTATATTGAGGAATGTTACATATGATGTTGAAGTAAGCCAAGGATGATTATGGATGATGTTGTAGAATGTCATAGATGATGTTGAGGAAGACCAAGAACGATATTGAGAAATATCACAGACAATTTTGAGGGAGCCCAAGGATAATGTTGTCTTCTTCAATGTTGGATGTTGCCAGATTGTTTTTGATGGATTTTTCGGGATTTCCTATTAATGCCGGGTTTATACAGAATTTAGCTGTAAATTTAAATTTAAAGATTTAGATTTAAGGATTTTATTTAGCTTTAAGAAGAAAATTGATTTATACAGAATTTAAGATTTACAGAATCGCAACCTCAAGAAACAAAATATTACTAGTTTTTGTGTTGTCATTTTCTACCAATATGTTATCTTTATGTTCAGAACATTTTTTATCGTAAATATTCTCAAAAATTTTAATTAATTTTCCATCGAATTCGCTCATTTTGTTGGCACAGAAATAAACAACAGTTGAGGTTAGGTTAGAACGCGCTATTTACATCGGCCGATCATTGGATACAGCCAGATACAGCTGATTGAGGTCGTCTTACGCATGTGTGACGCTGTTTAGAAAAGTTGACCAACTTTATATTTGCAGCTAAATCTTACAGCTTTGTATAAACGATACATGGGGTTTCAATACATTTAACTCTTACAGCTAAATTTTTAAATTTAAATTTACAGCTAAATCGTCTGTATAAACCCGGCCTAAGTTAGCTACAATTTTTTGAGGTTTTGCTATTAATAATTCAATGACTTCGAAGGTTAGAAATAATTTGAAAAACTTAATATTCAATGTGTTTTTCTTCCAAATACGCCAATATTATTTGTTCTCATCACTACTTTCTTGCATATTGCTTGAATAACATCATTTATCGTGTCCAATACACTATCTTATGCTTTTTTAGGTTTATTTGCATTCCGTGGTTTTTTTCTAGCAGGTTCATCATCAGAAGAATAATTAGAATTTCTGGGAACAAATTCACCACCAGAATCCTCAAATGGTTCATTATCGTCTTTATCTGAAAGACACTCCTGCCACAATTTTTGTTGTCTTCTTCGTAACTCATTTTTACTGACACTTTTTATACCAAAAACTAACCTGAATTCAACATATACCCTCCACGTACAGCATTTTTGATTTACACAATCACATTTACAATCATAGCTGCTTCTCGACTGAAAGCAATAATAATTTAGGCCAGAATGAATAGACTTTTAGTGACTATTGCGGCAGTCAACGTGTTAAAAAATGTATTAAATTTGATTAATTACTAAAACAAAATTGACGGTTTTTAGATTTTAAGCACAAAACTATTAGGAAAACGTCCAAATGTAAAAGTAAAATCAGTGACAATAATACATAGTCAAACAACGGAAACTGTAAGACTTCCTGATGTCGATGGGCAAGTAACGGTTCATCCCCCGCTACGTTCAAAGTTGCCCTTAAAAAGAAAAGTAAGAAATGGTAAAAAATTGGGAAGAAAACCGGCGGTTAAAAAAGAAGCTCAAAATAATAATAATAATATAAATAGTCCAACTAAAAAAGGTTCGCCTAAGAAGAAAATGCGAGTTTCCGCGGCAGTTAGCGCGGAGGAATCGCGAAAAAAAACGGGTGATACAACCGCAGTGATTGAAATCCCACCAAGTAAAGTAAAAAAATCGTCAGTTAGCCGAAGAAAAACCAAGAAAAAGAAAGAAGTCATCGATTATAGCGGGGCTCAAAACGATAACGACAACGGCAAAAAGGGATTGTTAAATCAAGAAACCGACAACTTAACGGATCCGGTTGGAAAAGTTCAAAATTGGTTATTAAAATCGCATCAACTACCCAAATCAAAATCAACCCCCGCGGGTTTAACCGATAAGTCGAGAAGTCCTCATAAACGGTTAACGAAAAGAACCGAACATAAAAAATCACAAAGTATCGGTAACTTATCGAGTGATAAAGACAAAGTTCGACTTCAAGTGGTTTATAAACCGCCGTTTAAGTTTAGTGTTAAATTAAAAAAGCCGGAGAAATCTCCCGTTGTTGTTGTGGAAAGTCGCGGGTTAAAAAAACCGAGAACTGCGGTGTTGGTGAGGAGTAGTGGTAATAAAGAGAGGGAAAAGTTGAAAAAGAATGCTGTAAAACCGGCGGGCGATGAAGGTGTAGGAACTTCAACGTCAAAAACGACCGTTTTAAAATCAAATAATGAAGATATTGACTCAAATATTCATACCGTCCAATCGGACCTGGATGTTTTGCTGTCGGAGAGCGAATTTCTTTTCTCGGACAGTTGAAGTTGTCCGGGCCATAATTTTTAAAACTGGCTGTGGAAGACATTCCAATAAAGACAAAAAATAATTAATTTTTTTAATAGAAGCCAGATTAACTCGTTTTTTATATCAATTAATTTTATTTAAACGTACTTAAATTATTAACTTTTTTTTTAAACTTAATTTTTTTTTTTATAAAGTTAATCTGTGATTTCAAATAAAAACTTTGTAATATAATCACAACTTAATTAACAACTATATTTATCTACATCAAAAAAAAATTAATAATAAAATAAAATTTCGATCGAGGAAATTGTACATATTTCGATTTAATGGTATTTTTACAGTGCCATTTATTTCCGTTTTAATGAATTGTTTTTTTTTTTTTTTTGTAATAGAAACTGAAGTGTCAAATTTCTTATTAGCGTGCCAAAAATAATTAAAAAAGAAAAAAACAACCTTCCTTTTTGTAATTAACACGCTACTTACTTATCTTATATTGAAATTATCTTTCCTTTCAAATTGTTGTTATAGATATTTAATAGGACATATCAATCTAACTCGGATTACTTTTTTGAGTTTTTCTCTGTAAGAATTATTATGAAAAAGGTAAATTTAAATGTGAATTTCATTGTACGACTTTGTATTTTTTGCAAATAAACCTTCGAACGTAAATTATCAATGTTTTTCAACATCATCATCATCATTGGCACCACAACCCCTAAACATAATCTTTATTTGAATCACCCGGTATAGTTTTTTCAATAGTCGAGTTTCGAACCAATCTCAATTTTAAAATAGTTCCGATTAGTTCGGTAATTGAACGATAGATGGCGATTTTATGTAAATTACTGATGGTTCGAAACTCGGCTAAGGAAAAAAGTATACCGGGTGATTCAAAAAAACATTTAACTTTCTGCACTTTCTATTTTAATTTCAATTTTTATTTGAATCACCCGGTATACTTTTTTCCTTAGCCGAGTTTCGAACCAACCTCAATTTCAAAATAGTTCCGATTAGTTCGGTAATTGAACGATAGATGGCGATATTATATAAATTACTGATGGTTCGAAACTCGGCTAAGGAAAAAAGTATACCGGGTGATTCAAAAAAACATTTAACTTTCTGCACATTTTATTTTAATTTCAATTTTTATTTGAATCACCCGGTATAGTTTTTTCAATAGTCGAGTTTCGAACCAACCTCAATTTCAAAATAGTTCCGATTAGTTCGGTAATTGAACGATAGATGGCGATATTATATAAATTACTGATGGTTCGAAACTCGGCTAAGGAAAAAAGTATACCGGGTGATTCAAAAAAACATTTAACTTTCTGCACATTTTATTTTAATTTCAATTTTTATTTGAATCACCCGGTATAGTTTTTTCAATAGTCGAGTTTCGAACCAACCTCAATTTCAAAATAGTTCCGATTAGTTCGGTAATTGAACGATAGATGGCGATATTATATAAATTACTGATGGTTCGAAACTCGGCTAAGGAAAAAAGTATACCGGGTGATTCAAAAAAACATTTAACTTTCTGCACATTTTATTTTAATTTCAATTTTTATTTGAATCACCCGGTATAGTTTTTTCAATAGTCGAGTTTCGAACCAACCTCAATTTCAAAATAGTTCCGATTAGTTCGGTAATTGAACGATAGATGGCGATATTATATAAATTACTGATGGTTCGAAACTCGGCTAAGGAAAAAAGTATACCGGGTGATTCAAAAAAACATTTAACTTTCTGCACATTTTATTTTAATTTCAATTTTTATTTGAATCACCCGGTATAGTTTTTTCAATAGTCGAGTTTCGAACCAACCTCAATTTCAAAATAGTTCCGATTAGTTCGGTAATTGAACGATAGATGGCGATATTATATAAATTACTGATGGTTCGAAACTCGGCTAAGGAAAAAAGTATACCGGGTGATTCAAAAAAACATTTAACTTTCTGCACATTCTATTTTAATTTCAATTTTTATTTGAATCACCCGGTATAGTTTTTTCAATAGTCGAGTTTCGAACCAACCTCAATTTCAAAATAGTTCCGATTAGTTCGGCAATTGAACGATAGATGGCGATATTATATAAATTATTGATGGTTCGAAACTCGGCTAATTAAAAAAGTATACCGGGTGATTCAAAAAAACATTTAACTTTCTGCACATTTTATTTTAATTTCAATTTTTATTTGAATCACCCGGTATACTTTTTTCCTTAGCCGAGTTTCGAACCAACCTCAATTTCAAAATAATTCCGATTAGTTCGGTAATTGAACGATAGATGGCGATATTATATAAATTACTGATGGTTCGAAACTCGGCTAAGTTAATTGAATAATAGATGGCGATCTTATTTAAATTAGTGAGGGTTTGAAACTCGGCTGAGGAAAAAATTATACCAGGTGATTCAAAAAAACATTTAATTTTCTGAACATTTTATTTATAATTTATACAATTTTACGTTTTTTTAAATATAATACAACTTCTAATTAATATAAACTTACTTCTCTTCACATCTTAAATAAAAAAAAACCTTTTTACACTTTTTTAAATAATTTACAAATAAATATTGTCGCCTAACTGTTTTTGGCCTCTCATCAAAACAAAATAAAAAAGATTAAATTAAAATGTTCGTATCACATTGGAAATTATATTTAATCAAAAAAAACTCCAATTTCAACGATTATTATTTTTTTCATCTTTAATACTGGGCAAAGTGTTTTAAATTTTTAATTCTTACATTAATAAATGAATAAATAAACGAAATCATCACCTTCCTTTCAAAATTTTGATCTCATTTTACTCCTGCTACCTTTTATCTTCCATCACCACCTGTTTAAAATGATGTCCAGTCGACATTTGTGATTTCACCTCGTGGTTTCCTAAGGAAGCTGTACCATCTTTGGCTATGAAAAGTTGTAAACCAGAATCTAAATGATCAAAATTAATAAACAATTAAAATAAATTAAATCAAATTACTTTCTGCCGAATCATCCGTTGGTTCTAAGTTGGTACTTTTTAGTAATTCTTCTATTAAATGATTCGGGTTCACCCTGGTTTCTTCGACTCTCCCGGTCGTTTGAACATTTTCTTCTTGGCTTTGACCGACTTTTTTACGTTTCTCTAAAGCCGCTTTAGCACGATCTAATGAGCCAGTTTCCGACAAAACCAAACTACTTGAACTTGGATTTCTATAAACAAAAAAAAGATCGATATACAAGCTTATAAAAAAATTTAAAAACAAAATCAACCCAATTTTTATTTTTAAAAAGCGTCATATTTACAGCAATTAATTTTTATGCTCTTTCTACAGCGTTTTTAATTATTTCATGTTTTAATTTCAAAACAAAAATGATAAATTAATAAATAAAAAGCTTAAAGCATGCTTACAAAAAAAATGGCCACAAACATGTTATTTTAGAAAACAAGGGAAAACAACATTCAAAAAAAAAACGATTTAATGCTTCATTAGATGAGTATTTAGCAAATAAACGCGTATAATCGATTTAATACTTATTGTTAGAGATTATTTTTTATATCAAAAGATCGGATTATAAGCAATATTTTTTTGAATACTCATTCTTAACAAAAACTAAATCAATTCAAATAAAATTTAAACGAGCTTAGGAGAGCTTTCTTTGACTAACGCTGTGACGCTCGTTCGACGAACTGTAGACGAGGTTTGAGCGCATTCTGAGGTAATTGCAGGAAGTTGATCGTCCGGACTTGTTATAACCGGAGCCAATTTGGGGCCTTGTTGTCCATCTAACAGTTTTCGATGCGACATACCTCTGCAAAATTGTTCATTTTGAACGTTATTAAAATAAATTCTTTTTCTTTTTCGATTTAATCGGGCTAAAATCGTTAATAATAACCTTAAACTTAATTTATTTAGCAATAAAATCATCTTAAAAACCATCACCAACCCCAAATTCAAACACAAAGTAACAAATTTAAGAAGAAAACCATGTTTAATTTTAATGTTAGTTCATTAAATAACGAAAATAAAAAGATTGTAATCTATAAATACGCAATGACGGTAGAATTTAAGATACATCCCGGAAATAACTATTATTTCACACTTTTAATCAGTAAATGATTAACTACTAAAACTAATTAAGCAAAAAATTGGTGTATTTTAAAAAGAGTATTTATATATTTATTTAGTAGTTATTAATTACCCAACCCAACCCAACCCAAAAGTGCTTAATAATCAAAATGGGGACAAAATACGATTAAAAATCTTGTATAACAACAGTTATCTACACAAAAACAGAATCTAGCGACTGTTCGAATACGGTTTTTGTTCCCAACTGTTAATAAACTGCTTTTTCTAAGTGAAATAAATCATCACATACAGGTGTCCCGTTAAGCGTACGGAGCGGCTGTATCTCTAGAACCTCATAATCTGGGAACTCCGAAAACAATTATCCACAAGAGTTCTCAAGAGAATAATATCTCCACCACGTTGTTTTACATCAGGCCTTAACAGATACCGATTATGAGCGCAGGTGGTGTAAATTTGCATGACATGCATTATTGGTCGGAGCAAAATCCACATTGGATGCGGCAGATAGAGCATCAAAATTGCTGGAGTTTGAATGTATGGTGCGGAATTGTGGAAGGAAAACTTATAGGCCCACATTTTTTTGACGCAACACTTAACGGAGAACGATTTTTGGAATTTTTGAACGTTTTCCTTCCACCCCTTTTAGAAAACGTCTCCTTGGAAACAAGAAGGAACATGTGGTTTCAGCTTGATGGTTGTCCGGCGCACTATGACCGAAACGTACGTCAGCATTTAGATGAACTGTATCCGAATCGTGTTATTGGAAGGGGCAGTCTATCTCCTTGGCCGGCGCGTTCCCCGGATCTAACTTGTTTGGATTTTTATCTATGGGGTAGATTAAAAGACCTAGTTTTTCAAGAAGAACCAACAACCAAGGAAAATATGATGGAGAGAATACAAAGTTCCATTAGAAATTTGTCCAGGGCTGATATTGAAGCAGCAGTTTTTTCCACCGAAACTAGAGCAAATAAATGCATCGAGAATGATGGAAAACATTTATGAGCTATTTTTAGCTAAAAGTTGAGTGTTATGGTTTATTTTGTTTTATTGTTATAGTTGATGTTTCGTTGGTCCGTTGATCTTTAAACACGCTTCAAAAATGGTTTTGAACCAGTAGAAGGAACCTCTGGATAAAGTGTGAAGGAAGGCTCTACGTAATAAATTTTTATGCTCTGTGATTTGTTTGTTAAGATAATGTGATCAGATTGAGGTATACAAATTTTTAACATTTTCTTCTATAATTCGAGAACGGATGGCGATATCGAGATGCGGTTTTCACTAATATTTAGCAAATTTTATGGTGACTAAGGATCTGTGAAGTAAATAGTACCGTTCCATTTAACTTTTTTTCAAAAATCACAAAAATATGTCATCGCTGCAGATAACGCCCTCTAGCTTATTTATTTTAAACCAACAAATAAAATGCTCTTTCAAACGAGACCAAAAATATTCAAATTGGTTGAATGGTCCAGGAGATATTAAAATGTAAACATTTGAAAACGCATTGGCCTCCCCCTCCCTTATTACGACAGATTGAGAAATATCGCAAAACAAAAGCGTTGTCAAAGTTATAGCTCATCGTCTAACTTTCTGAGATAGCGGGAATTTTATGTTTCTCTATGGCAGTTACGCCCCCTAGCGGTCGAATTACGAAGTTCAAAATAATTTCCAGCTATTTCTCTAGCCCACTTTGCTTATAAGGATTTTTTTCCCAAACCTCTAGGCCTTACTGTTGTTGAGATACAGCTCCGTACGCTTAACGGGACACCCTGTATATAAACAAAATATTTCTAGGTCTAGTGTTCTTTCTAGTATTAACCCAAAGACAGTAGAATCTAAAAGGACTGCTACATCCATTGTTATTTTGTAGCCCACTATGGGTTGGTTGCCCGCACTCTACGTCACACTATTAGCCACGCCCATTTAACTGTCATTGAGTTCTATGTGTTTGCTGTGTGTTTTTAGAAGTTATATAATAAATATTTGATTTACTTTTGAAGTTAATATGAACACATCCACGATATAAGCTCCAAAAATATACAGCAAACGCATAAAACGCAATGACAGTTAAATGGGCGTGGCAAATAGTGTGACGTAGTGTGCGGGAACGTTGTCATAACAATAGATGTAGCACTCCTGTTAGATTCTACTGTCCTTGGTATTAACCCAAGGAACAAGGACAGTAGAATCTAACAGGAGTGCTACATCCATTGTTATTTTGTAGCCCACTACGGGTTGGTTGCCCGCACTCTACGTCATACTATTAGCCACGCCCAGTTAACTGTCATTGACCCATATGCATTTGCTGTGTGTTTTTAGACGTTATATGATAGACATTCGATTTACTTTTGAAGTTAATATGAATACATCCACGATATAACCTCTAAAAATATACAGCAAACGCAATGACAGTTAACTGGGCGTGGCAAATAATGTGACGTAGTGTGCGGGCACGTTGTCATAACAATGGATGTAGCAGTCCTGTTAGATTCTACTGTCCTTGGTATTAACCCAAGAAACAAGGACAGTAGAATCTAACAGGAGTGCTACATCCATTGTTATTTTGTAGCCCACTACGGGTTGGTTGCCCGCACTCTACGTCACACTATTAGCCACGCCCAGTTAACTGTCATTGACCCATATGCATTTGCTGTGTGTTTTTAGACGTTATATGATAGACATTCGATTTACTTTTGAAGTTAATATGAATACATCCACGATATAACCTCTAAAAATATACAGCAAACGCAATGACAGTTAACTGGGCGTGGCAAATAATGTGACGTAGTGTGCGGGCACGTTGTCATAACAATAGATGTAGCAGTCCTGTTAGATTCTACTGTCCTTGGTATTAACCCAAGAAACAAGGACAGTAGAATCTAACAGGACTGCTACATCCATTGTTATTTTGTAGCCCACTACGAGTTGATTGCCCGCACTCTACGTCACACTATTAGCCACGCCCAGTTAACTCTCATTGACCCATATGCATTTGCTGTGTGTTTTTAGACGTTATATGATAGACATTCGATTTACTTTTGAAGTTAATATGAATACATCCACAATATAACCTCTAAAAATATACAACAAACGTAATGACAGTTAACTGGGCGTGGCAAATAATGTGACGTAGTGTGCGGGCACGTTGTCATAACAATGGATGTAGCAGTCCTGTTAGATTCTACTGTTCTTGGTATTAACCCAAGGAACAAGGACAGTAGAATCTAACAGGACTGTTACATCCATTGTTATGACAACGTGCCCGCACACTACGTCACATTATTTTCCACGCCCAGTTAACTGTCATTGAGCTCTATGCGTTTGCTGTGTATTTTTAGAGGTTATATAATAGATATTCGATTTACTTTTGAAGTTAATATGAATACATCCACGATATAACCTCTAAAAATATACAGCAAACGTAATGACAGTTAACTGGGCGTGGCAAATAGTGTGACGTAGTGTGCGGGCACGTTGTCACAACAATGGATGTAACAGTCCTGTTAGATTCTACTGTCCTTGGTATTAACCCAAGAAACAAGGACAGTAGAATCTAACAGGACTGCTACATCCATTGTTATTTTGTAGCCCACTACGGGTTGGTTGCCCGCACTCTACGTCACACTATTAGCCACGCCCAGTTAACTGTCATTGACCCATATGCATTTGCTGTGTGTTTTTAGACGTTATATGATAGACATTCGATTTACTTTTGAAGTTAATATGAATACATCCACGATATAACCTCTAAAAATATACAGCAAACGCAATGACAGTTAACTGGGCGTGGCAAATAGTGTGACGTAGTGTGCGGGAACGTTGTCACAACAATGGATGTAGCAGTCCTGTTAGATTCTACTGTCCTTGGTCATTGGGTTAATACCAAGGGCAGTAGAATCTAACAGGACTGCTACATCCATTGTTATTTTGTAGCCCACTACGGGTTGGTTGCCCGCACTCTACGTCACATTATTAGCCACGCCCAGTTAACTGTCATTGAGCTCTATGCGTTTGCTGTGTATTTTTAAAGGTTATATGATACACATTAATACATCAAAAAAAATAAAACTATAAACGTCTAAATATAGCATAGGCATAAAACACAATAACAGCTGATTGGGCGTAGTAAATGGGTTGACGTAATGTGCGGGCACATTCTCACAACAATGGATGTAGCAGTCCTGCTAGATTCTACTGTCCTTGGTATTAACCCTAATTTTAATTGTTAAGCATTTACCAATTCAAAATGTAAAATAATAATTGGCTATTCATGCATAACGTCATAAACGAGCCGTCAAGCTTTGTATCTATTCCCAGGATCCTTATAAATTCTACCGTCCTTGATAAATACGTACATTAAGTCGTAGAAAACTTTGGAAACTGAAAAAACTGGTTTATTTAAAGCATAAATCACCAAAACAAAAACTAAACAAGAAAAAAAAAAGGAAACAAAACTAGAAGAAAAATGAATTTAACCAATATAATCCTACCTTTTCATTCCTTGACCATTACAACTCCAATTTTCCGTCTGGTTACCAAACCTTAAGGAATTTAAGGAAGAGGTGCGATTATTTTGTAATAACCCCGGATACCTCGGTGGCGAAGGTGCTTTAGGAACTTTAAATTCACCGGATTTCGGTGTCGAATGAAAAACGCCGTTTTGTTGTTGTTGTTGTTGTTGATGAAGAGATAACTTTTTACGTTTTTGAATCGGGGTTAAAAGTGAAAATAAATTATCGGATTTTTCAACGAAATTCTCGATCTTCACCACATTCCTGTTTCGCGAAATTTGGACTTCGCTCGCGGAACGCAAAACGCCCGAATCGTTTAGGTTCGTTTTGTCGCCGTCGCTTTTGCGATTGTACATTTTCTCGAATTTGACCGGATCTAAAGAGAAGCTTTTTTGCAAATCGAAACTGTTTTCTAACCAATTCGAATCGAGGGTGTCGTCGGGGGTACGATAATCGTCACTGTTATCGGTGCTTAATTGACTCAGTTGCGATTGATAATTTTTTGGTGTCGCATACGTTGATAAATTAGAACGGTTTAATCCGTTGGGAGAGAACGTTTTTTGATGGGGTAATTTTTCGGGGGTGTTTAAAGGTGATGGTACTTCAGGATGAGTTGTTGGGATATAACAAGTTGTTGTGATCCGTATTGGTTTCCTAATTTTAAAAACAAAAATTAAAAAAAAAAACAACAAAGAATAAAAAATAGAAATCATGCGAAGAAAAAGATAATTTATCGTTTTGTTTTCCCAAAATCTAATTTAATAAAAAAAAAAAAACATATAAGCTCTAAGTAAGCTTAATTTTAATCTCCCAAAATAAAGATGATTTATTCTATAAAGTTATTTACACCAAATCCTTCCTCCCATTTTATTTAAATTAATTTTTTAATCACAACTCACCGTATATGTCCTGAATCCCCGGAACTACTCTGTCTACTATGAGAATGTGAGTGAATACTACTATAACCCGAAGCTTTCGACATTTGACTCGTATTCGATGAGTTTCTTGAGTGCCCCTGTTCACAATGCCCTTCATCTTGTTGATCTTGGTTAATTTGAGCCGACGATTCTTCCGTTGAAATCGTTATGGGGACGTTATTTTCTATTAAACTAGGTCCTTTAACTAAATCTAAAACAAAAATTTTTATATAAACATTTGTTAATACCTTTTAAAGATAAAATAAATTTTTAGGTTAAATTTTTACTGTCAAACTTATTAAACGGCCATCTTTTTTTACGAATCACCATGGTAACGCAAGTTGGTTAACTTTATAATATAAAATTATTAAAATTAAATTCATTTTAGTATTTGAATTTAAATTAATTTTGTAATTTGAATTAATTAAGATGTTAAATACGAAATAAAATTGAATAAAATTGTTATTAAAAATAAATTAATACACCAACAAATAATTTCTAACCTCACTTTTTAAGTGAAAGTGAGGTTAGGATTCTTTTAGAGTGTTTTAAGACGATTTTTGTGTTTATTATGAAATAAATTAGAAATTAGCTTTTATTAAGTGTTTGTTGAAAATCTCAAATCCTAATAAACTTTGAGTTTTTGTCAACGATGGACCAAAATAGATTTGTTCACTTAGAAACTAAACGTATATGTGAATTAGTTCATTTTGGAGGTGAACTGCAGAATATTTTGATTATAAACACACGATTACTTGCTTGTATTCGAAATATTAATAAAATAAGTCCACAAAATTTCCTAACCGAGATACTTCCCCAATGTGTTGAAAATTACAGAGTTAAAAGCTTCCAAAATAGCAATTATTACTTTAGAAACAAACTAATTTTTATGTTAATAGATCGTTAAACATTTCTGTACTTGGTGTGTAACTGTATTGTGATATACAGTAAGTAAGAACTCCTAAATCAAGGCGAAATTACTCCAAATAACTCAAGGATTACGTTGTAGGGGGAAACCTTGCTTTAAGAAATCTAACGGTTTTAGAAGATGGAGTTCCTCAGATGCAAAAGATCTATTTTTAATCTAAAACAAATATTTCTATATAAACATTTAATAATTCCTTTTTAAAGATAAAATAAATTTTTAGGTTAAATTTTTACTGTCAAACTTATTAAACGGCCATCTTTTTTTACGAATCACCATGGTAACGCAAGTTGGTTAACTTTATAATATAAAATTATTAAAATTAAATTAATTTTAGTATTTGAATTTAAATTAATTTTGTAATTTGAATTAATTAAGATGTTAAATACGAAGCAAAATTGTATAAAATAATTATTAAAAATAAGTTAAATTAGATTAATACACCAAAAAATAATTTCTAACCTCACTTTTTAAGTGAAAGTGAGGTTAGGATTCTTTTAGAGTGTTTTAAGACGATTTTTGTCTTTATTATGAAATAAATTAGAAATTAGCTTTTATTAAGTGTTTCTTGAAAATCTCAAATCCTAATAAAGTTTGAGTTTTTGTCAATGATGGACCAAAATAGATTTGTTCACATAGAAACTAAACGTATATGTGAATTAGTTCATTTTAGAGGTGAACTGCAGAATATTTTGATTATAAACACACGATTACTTGCTTGTATTCGAAATATTAATAAAATAAGTCCACAAAATTTCCTAACCGAGATACTTCCCCAATGTGTTGAAAATTACAGAGTTAAAAGCTTCCAAAATAGCAATTATTACTTTAGAAACAAACTAATTTTTATGTTAATAGATCGTTAAACATTTCTGTACTTGGTGTGTAACTGTATTGTGATATACAGTAAGTAAGAACTCCTAAATTAAGGCGAAACTACTCCAAATAACTCAAGTATTGCATTATAGGGAAAAACCTTGCTTTAAGAAATCCAAGAGCTTTTAGAAAATGGAGGACTCCATCCTCAGATACAAAAGATATATTTCTAATCTAAAACAAATATTTCTATATAAACATTTAATAAATAATTCCTTTTTAAAGATAAAATAAATTTTTAGGTTAGATTCTTCTGTCAAACTTAATAAACGGCCATCTTTTTTTACGAATCACCATGGTAACGCAGGTTGGTTAACTTTGTAATATAAAATTATTAAAATTAAATTAATTTTAGCATTTGAATTTAAATTAATTTTGTAACTTGAATTAATTAAGATGTTAAATACGAAACAAAATTGAACAAAATGGCTAAAATTGTTATTAAAAAAGTTAAATTAGATTAATACAACAAGAAATAAATTTAACCTCACTATTTAGGTGAAAGTGAGGTTAGGATTCTTTTGGAAACCTTGCGTTAAGAAATCCAAGAGCTTTTAGAAGATGGAGGATTCCAGCCTCAGATACAAAAGATCTATTTCTAATCATTTTTTCAATATAATCTCAAAACAAACCTGAATTTAATAATTGTGGACGTTTTTTAGGTAAACTACCAAAACCAGAACTTCCACTTGCTGTAGAACCACCTAAAGAACTACTAGAAAAGTCATCTAAAGTCCTCGTATCCGCATTATTATCTTCATTTCCAATTTGTTTGTGTTTAGGCGCTGGAGATGGCCTACAAAAAAATATTTGATTTATTAAAATTAATACATTTCATTCTAATTAATTATTTATAAACAGTTTAGACTTACACTTTAAAGAGAATATCGCCGGAGAGCATATGCATTTTAATCGAAAACTTCAACATGCTATTATCTTGTCGATGTCGCGCATCGTAACCTTCCAAAAGAGCCTTTTTCGAAATCTCCCCAGCTCCCGCATACTCGGCAAGATTAATGTCGACGAAACCCAACTTTGTGAAGGACCTGCCTCCTTTACATTCCTTCCGGACGGAAATTCGTAAAATGCAACGTTCCAAAACACACGTCGAAGCATTCGCAAACATTTTACAAGGAAACGAAAATTTCGAACCCCATTTCACGGCGTGATCTTTCACTTCTTGCCTATAAAAGAAAATTAAAAAACGAACATAAAATAAAATTATTAACTTTTACTTTATTTTTAGTATAATAAAGGATTTTTTTTTGTTTTTACGCTCTAATTAAGTGACGTTGTAATAAATAGCTGGTATAAAATAATCACCGTGATTGTGACGTAAAAAAAAAAGTTGTTTAGTACGTTTTAATCGTTGTGTATACGTAAGAAATGCGACGACGTAGAGGGAATTTTCGTTCTCGAAATCCTAAAAACGTTTATTATGCAATTTCGCGAATCCGTAGGCGTCCAACGGACAAGGACGTTCGAATTCCTATTCGTTTTCCTCGTTTTGTATTCCATTAAAGTAACACGATTCGATTTAGAATTTTTATACAAGCCAATTTTACAAATAACTTTTTTTAAATTATATTAAAAGTTTGTTAAAGTCGCAAGTTTTTTTTTTTTATTAATTTTTAATGAATCAACTTGACCCAAAACGTTTTCGTTTTTTATGCTGTTTATCAATACGTTTTAACCTTGAGAGGCCAGTTTTTTTTTAGTTAGTAATTTCATAGAGATAATAATTGGGAACCGGCTGCTGTTGCTGCTGCATCTCGTTCCGTTTCATTTTTAAAACCTACACATCATCAAACACTCGTTTCCTGCTGAATAATTACGTTTATATCCTACAGGAAGTTCTCGTTTTCTAATTCTCTATTTATATACATATATTTATTAATCGTTATTTTAAAATTTTATTTATTAATTAACATCCGGTTGGGTTTTGGAGTTCGAACTCTTCGTTCCTATCCAGCTACAGAGTTTCCACTGGTTCTTGTTGCATTGTATTCTTTCTTCGACTCCCTGTTCTTGAAACTTGGATTACTTTAAATATATCAAACCCCGAACTTCTTTCCAAAACTCCTCAAAGATCGCGCAATATGATCTTCTAACTATCATTTCTTTATATTTAATTGCTCTTCTGCTCTCCTCCACCCTCATTTCATACACCTTAATTTCCTCACACACAATTCCTCTCTAAACCCCAGTACCAGGTTTAGGAAGAAGATCTGAGGGCACCCACTATAGCTCTCTATGGATCATAGCACATTACCTGATGTTTATTCATCATCTGAATGAATCTGACTATTGCTCTATATAGAATAGACTACTTAATATTATAGGATCACCCCCCATTTCGAGTTTGCTAAAGATTTAATTAAGTTAACATGTTCTTTCCAACTTAGTTTCCCGTTGATATGAAATCCCAAGTACTTGAAGCTCTCCACATACCCCACAGGGCTACCACGATTACATTCAATGCTTGAATTATTAAAAGTAATTATTTATTGTGCTTTTCTGTATACATTTTAGATCAACTTACTTTATTTTCTTTCAATTCTAAATCACCAAGAAACGAAAATATGCAAGGTTTTTTGTGTCGTTTAGAAATTCTTTCGCAAGGAAACTTTTTTAGAGTCACTTTTTTATAAATGGCAGTCTCTCTGGTATGTAAGCATAAATTTTAAACAAAACCCGTTTTGTTTATACGGTTAAGTTACGTAAAATATAACGGATAGCATTTTTTTTCAATACATAATAATAACGGAGTTGTTTTCAAAGTAACATTTCGTGATAAATCGAAATTAACTCACCCCTTATTACGACTTTTTTCTGTTTATTTTGTGAGTCATTTTAAAAGCAGGTTAACGCACCCTCAACCCAACCCAATTTCCTTTCAATTCCATTTTATTTTTAATTTTTTTTTATACAATAACACTCGATAATTTAATAAAGGATCGATATCTCGGTCAGTTTACAATTACAAGTGAAAGCGAATGAGTTCAAACGACCTCAAATCGCCTTGAGAAACATCCTTGCCCCAGGATAAAATAAGTTTCATTTAAGTTAAGCTAAATTTTTGAGTCTCTCACCTTGTACTGTGATCTTGAAAGCTCCCCCCATCCAATAAACGGAGCTTGGCGAATAAAACGGCAGAAACAAACGGAACTTCAAGAAGATCCTCGATGACGACGTCCACTTGAAACTTGTATTTTTTCTTTTTACTCATAAAAGACGCCATTCCGGCGCCCCTTCCGTTTGTCATATAGACAAAATTATGGCATAACTAAGTAATGAAATGAATTTCTTTAAACTAGAAAGAAAGAAAAAATTAATTTGACGTATGACATAACCTCAAATTCATTTCAATGAAGATTTAAGTTAAAAAAATCACCCATACCTTATTTACTTATAAAAATTGACGAGTTTAAAGCTAAATTCTCCATTTTTTAATTATTTATGAATAAATTATATTTTTTTATGATAATTTCCCCAAAAATAATTATTTTTAGGGTTAACCTCAAACTTAACGTAGTCAGTGACGTTTCTATGGTAACCTAAGGTTGGTAAACTTTAAAATAATTAAATCACTACAGTTTTGTAGAATCGAATTTATTGACAATTATTGTATACCAGCTTAGGCATGACCCCAACAAGATTGGATCTTATAAAGGCTTGCCCCAGGAAAGCTCCTTTATTATTTAATTACTATATTAGAGACATCAGTAATGTTTTTTTAGTTTCAAGCAGCCAGGGATGTAACTTCTTGGCGGGAAAATTAACTTGTTTAAAATCGATTTGAAATGAAATAATTTTTTTCTAAACCTTTTTAATTCAACCATCAAATCCAAATTCCAAACATAACAATAAAACGAGCGATCAGATAAAAAATATACAACATATTGTTTGATAACGAGCCGGATTTTATCGTCTTAAAAAAATAATTACCAAGTTCCTAAGTGAGTAATCCCTTAAAATATGATGTTGAATCATTGCAATATTATAGCTCGATTAAATCTTAAAGGATTTGCGATTCCCACTAAAAAAAAATTTAATTTCACTTCCTCGTTCTCATTTAATCTTGATTCTTAATCAAAACCACAAAGTTATTTTTTTTTTATTATATAAACAGTGTAAATATTTAAGAATTAATAAAATTAACGCGAAATAAATTAAGATTTCATAGAATTAATACAAATTTATGTGGAACAATAGCATGGTAAAAGATAAGGTCGCTCAAATAACAATTTCTCTCTTATTAAATGATATAATTCAAAACGAAAATAGATAATTAATTTTTTACGCAGTATTTAGGTTAACAATGAACAAAAGAGACTGTTTTAAATGATTTTAAAAAAACGGTTTCATTAAAATTGTCATTTTAAACGTCAAAGTGACATTAAAACGTCAAAGTGACGTTAAAACGTAATTTTTTTTTTAAGTTATGAATCAAAGATTTCAATCTGAGAATGATGAGCGGGCGTAGACTTTAAAGGGGCTAACCGGGGTCGCGACGATTTATAATGTCAAGACTATTAACAGAAATTAAACGCTCTTGTATTTGGCCAGGAGCCAGCATTCCCCTTTATATGCACTGAATAATTTTGTTATTTATAAGCGAGAGCGATGTCATACAACGGCGGGCGAAAATAAATTTTCAAATCGGTGAAATCCGGTTTTAGATTAAACTTATTTTTTATTATTAGCAAAATTAACTAAACAATCGTTTTTTAATAACCACATTTTTTTTCTATCCAAGAGGCGATGACACTCTCTCATCTAAGAAGAAGTTTCGGTTCAGTTCGATCGCATTTTTTATTTTAAAACCATCGAGAGCGTTTTAAATGAAAATTACGTTATAAAGACTTACCTTTTATAGAAGTAACGATTTAGTAAGAAGTTTTCGGTCGATTTACGCGGAGGACACAGAACACAACACGACAGCCATTTTACTTGTACCGTACTGAAACTTGACAGACATTTTTTGACATATTTAGGGTTTAAAGTAATACCAACTTAATAATTTAAAAAAATACCAAAATAAGATGTGTCAAATAATTAATAATTTTAATTTATTACTATTAAATTAAAAATAACAATTATTTTAATTAATTAATTTGATTGATTAATATAAAAAAAGAGTTCTTTTTAGTTTAGTTTATAATTTAATGATCACTTAGAAAAACTATTCATAGATGGCGTTTTAATAATTTTAATTTTAACAAATTATTACAAAATACATTTTAATTATAAACAAATTATTTCTTTTTTCTAGTGAACATTCTCTTATTCCTCAAATCAAATTTATCCTCATCGATATCGTCCAATTTCCCATCTTCGTCTAATCTGACACTTTCAATTTCTTTATCAGAAAATTGGCTTAAATCGTTATCTTCGCGAATTTTCTTTAACATTTCGTCTCCGTTATCATCTTGAACGTTATTAATGGTGATGTTATTCAAAAAATTATCGCCCATCAAGGTGCTGTTTAAGAATTCATCGCAAAAATCCATCGTTGATTGTTGTTGTTTATCTTTTTTAAGCTTTTCTAACGTTTCAATTTCATTCAAATCGTTCACCGAAACAAACTTCAATTCGTTTTCGCGCTTTTCATTCTCAATAATCGCCTCTAGAATACTTTGGTCTGAGTTGATATCATCGATTTTGATTTCTTTGATGCTTTGGTTATTGTCGGTTATCGTTTCTATTGGATTTACGTATTTTGCGATCGGGTCTTCTTCAACTTCGGGGATGTGAGTAAAATTTGAGTCTTTGGTGTTGACCGTTAATTCTTGGACTTCCCCGGCTCTTCCATGTTCGTCAATAACTTGATATTGGAGCGAATCTTTCGTTATGTTTTGAAGGACTTCGTCGGTGACGTTCATAAAACTCCCATCGTTCGTTTTAAACATTATCTCAACGTTCGTTGGGACGTTTCCCCCAAAAATTTGTCTCAATTTGTCGGTTATTGCTTCTTGGAGTCTTGGGCTGTTAACGTTATCGTATTGAAGAACTGGATTTCCAAGGACGTTTATTGGTTTTGTTAAAACTTGATTTGTTAAGTTTAAAACTGGATTCAAAACCGATTGGTTTAACACAGATTGGTTTAACACGGATTGATTTAATACAGATTGATTCAAAACGGATTGATTCAAATCGGCGTAATTAACAACTTCTAAAGGAACTGCTTGAAGATGATTTAAATTATCAATGTAAGGTTCTTCAGAATGCGGAATAAAGTTTTCCACCGTCGTTTCCGAACAAGAATCTTCAATAACGAACGAACTTAATTGATTGGTTGTTGCTAATTCTTTTTGTAAAGCTTCCAAAGCTAACCGGCTTGCAGCGGCTTCTTTAGCGCAAGCTTTTTCCGCCTCTGATTTCATATATTTTCGTTTTAATTTCCGGTGAAAATTCGTCGAATCACTCGGAATTGTGGTTATTTTATCGGGATTTGAGGAGGATTGGTTAACATTGACGTTATTCATAGGGAAATAGGTACTCGAATATTTAGGTTTCTTCGTTAGAAATAATGGGTGAGGTATTTGGAGGGTTTCATCTAAAAAATAGCCAAAACATAACCTAAAAAATTTCCTAATTGTTGTTTTTTACCTATTTGATAATGATTGTCGGCTGCTAAAGCTTGGACCCCGCGAATCTCAAACATTTTCGCCGCGGCGATAAAAAATTTAAAGTTTTCTTCGGCAATGTTCGTTTCGCCGCAATACATGAACTCAACGAGGGCTTTAACGACGGCAAAATCCAAGCCGTTAACGACGATTTGTTCGACGCCGGAATTCTTTTCTAAATGTTCACGGAAATAGCCGCTATTGGCGGCTAAAACGCATTTGTGAGCGTGAACTGTGCTATTTCCGCATCTAATCGCGATGTCCACCAAACTTTGATGCTCCACCAGCGAACACAAAGACGACGAAACCATTTTCGCGTGATCGTCGTATTGAACACAATAACGGTTCTTGTTGGATTCTTTTTTAAAGTTCATTTAACTAAGGATTAATAAATTAAGGGAGATTTTAATGAGAAATTATGGTTTTAAACTCACCAAGAAGAAGAATTGACAGCTACAAACAATAAGTTTGTATTTAAAGGAGAAGCGATTAAACCGCCATCTATTATTAATGTGTTTAACTATTATTAAATCATCACGTTTCAACGTTTTCTCTAAAAATAAATTAATTAAATTTGAATCAAATATAAAAATTAAATGCGATTTTAATTATTATTTACTAATTTGTTGTTAATTTTTAATTTAAAGTCAATTTAAACAAATCTATTTTAACCAAGAAAATTTCGGTAGATGTCGCTGACAATCAAGTTTTTATTCAATTAGAACAAAATTATTAATTATAACGTATTATTTATTATTAACGAAAGTATTAATTTAATTATTTATTAATTAGGTGTTTTTTATAAATTGTAGAACAAACAATAAGTTTATATTTAAAGCCAAACGGATTAAACCGCCATCTATTATTAATGTGTTTAACTATTATTAAATCATCACGTTTCAACGTTTTCTCTAAAAATAAATTAATTAAATTTGAATCAAATATACAAATTAAATGCGATTTTAATTATTATTTACTAATTTGTTGTTAATTTTTAATTTAAAGTCAATTTAAACAAAGCTATTTTAATCAAAAAAATTTCGGTAGATGTCGCTGACATTCAAGTTTTTATTCAATTAGAACAAAATTATTAATTACACTTATATTAACGTATTATTTATTATTAACGAAAGTATTAATTTAATTATTAATTTTTTATAAATTGTAGAACAAACAATAAGTTTATATTTAAAGCCAAACGGATTAAACCGCCATCTATTATTAACGTATTTAACTATTAATAAATCGTCACATTTCAACGTTTTCTCTAAAAATAAATTAATTAAATTTGAATCAAATGTAAAAATTAAATGCGATTTTAATTATTATTTACTAATTTGTTGTTAATTTTGAATTTAAAGTCAACTTAAATAAATCTATTTTAATCAAAAAAATGTCGGTAGATGTCGCTGACTTCAAGTTTTTATTCAATTAATACAAAATTATTAATTACACGTATTATTTATTATTAACGAAAGTATTAATTTAATTATTTATTAATTAGTTATTTTTTATAAATTGTAGAACAAACAATAAGTTTATATTTAAAGTAAATCTGATTAAACCGCCATCTATGATTAACGTATTTAACTATTAATAAATCGTCACATTTCAACGCTTTTCCTAACAATAAATTAATTAAGTTTTTTTCCATTTTTCCACCCTTCATCATCTTCCGACTCGTTTTGATCCTCACAATTGGCTTCTATGTATTTACTACAGAAAATATCGTTTAAGCTCAACTGACATTAGTTGACAGTTTCAACTTTATTTATCACTCGCAAGATGTCACTGTTATTTTAAATTTTCAAAATTTTCAATTCGTATTCGTTTGAAATTTTTATTTAAAGTTTTAAAATAGTGTAAAAATAAAATAAAATACTTTTTAAGCAGTTTTTATATTTATCTTAAATTTAAATTTTTAGATAAAAGTATTGACACGAAACGAAAGCTGAATCCTTGTTACGTTAATGTAAGGGAAGTTTATCGGTGATCAGCTGATGTCGGGGGGTTGGTTTGGTTCTGATGTCGTTCATGGGGTTGATGGTGAGGGGGGTGGACATGAGGTGGAGGTGTGTCGGGTTGGGAACCCCGGGATGACTCACTCAGCTCACCCTGGGTAATCCATCACTGTCAAACGCCTTATTTCCAATATACCATTCCATGATTTCCAATATGTATATTTCTCACAAAACTTTCATTAAAAATTATCCATTTTTTCTTCGCCCAATAAAAAAAAAACAATAATTAAACTTTTAATTCAAAGAAAAACAACAAGTCGTAAGCTAAATCGTATATTTATTTATTTTTAGATGAAATGCTATTTTTAAGTCGAATTTTCGAGTGTGTACATTCTTTCCATTCACGCTTTTTTTTTCATCTATGTAGTTTATATACAGTTAAGATAATAATTACAGTTGATTTTAAAAACGGTATGTACAAAATAATAATTATTTTATTAATTCCCGATGTTTTTATTTTACAAATTACGCTAAATTGTAAAGATAAGCGAAAAAAATTACATTTTTATTTATATTTGATTCACCGATTTTATTTTATTCCTTATTTTTTCACCTTTAATTTGAAGCTTTTGATTAGAAATGTTAGAAATGTAGGTATTTTGCATACCTCATCATAACATCTCTATTATTGATTGTAAAAGTACTGAAATAACGGATTGTCTAATTTTTTCTTTTTTAAATATACAGTTTTTATATACAATTTTTAAATTAACAATGTATCATCGTAATTGGATCAAATTTGATAATATTCGGGGGTGTAATCATTTGCTAAGTTACTTAAAAAATTAAAATCCGAAGAACTGTTACTGTTTTCGCCCGTTGGTGCCACAACCGTTTGATTTTCACCTTGATAAAATTGATGATACGGATAATTTTCGCTTGTATCTGTTTGAACGCTAGTCGGTGGTGTCATAATTCCCCCAGGATTTGGATAACCTATATCAGAACTCATGTAAGCTTCTGTATTTGTTGTTGTTGCAGCTGTCGTTGGCGCCGAATTATAATTATTCTCGTAATACTTATTTTGATAATCAGCGTTTTGCACTTTCCCGTGCATTTGATGTAATTGATTTTCATTTTGATAATAATTATTTTCATGAATCGGGTTGGCAAGATGATGTATGTTTTCTTCATTCGTGTACATAGAAGCCGGATATTGACTGTAATTATAGTTCGTGTGATCGTATTCTTGAGGATATTGATTCATTTGATGGTAATCGTTTTTGTAATAATTCGCATAGTGCTGATTCGGATAATTCGGATAACTCGTTTGTTGTCGATTTCGACTGATTTCATTCCGTCTCGATTGGCTTTGAAGCTGATTATTTTTAAAATATGGTTGTTGGTTATCATTTATCGTCGGATGATCAGGATTGTACATATTTTCTGATGTATAACCGGATTGCGAATGAATATAAGATTGTTTTTGCCGTTCTGTTCGATAATCAATTTGTCCACCACTCATTGGATATTGAAATCCCGCTCCTCTTATTGCAAAATTTGGAACATTTTGAATCGTTACAGTTGCAGAAGCAACTGCGGTTGCCGTCGTCGGTGAAGATCTTTGTATTTGCGGATAAACCATTCCTGGGTTCATCGCTAAAGAAGGACTTGTGTGCATTGGAACGGTTGTTAAATTTTTCTTTGTTGTTGAGGTTAAAACCGCGTCGGATGTTGAATTATTTAACAGAATTTGTTCTTTCGGTGACATTTTACTAATTCCGATTTTTCTCTCACCCGACGACGGACTGTTTCTTCTATTCTCACTTTTCGTTCCCCCTTTCTTTCGTATTGCGCCTCCTCCGTTATCTTCGTTCGAACGCGAATCTTCTTCCGTTAAAATCTTATCGAAAGAACCGGAACTTGCCACACTACTCGCCCCGTTACTATTATTATTAAAGCTAGTATTGTTATTTGTTGCACTCGGTGTGTTATTGTTGTTTCCTCGCGAAGCACCGATATCGGGGACATCCTCGTGAGAACCGCAAAGAGCCACGGATGGTAATTCACAACCCTGACAACTTTTCTTGGACATCTCATCATCCAGAAATTTATCAGACATTTTTGTACTTTTACCACCATCGCTATTTACTGAGTCTTTGTCGTCGCCATCATCACCCTGTTTTCCTAAGGTTTGTCTTTTATGTTTCATCCGACGATTTTGAAACCATACTTTAACCTAAAATCGATAAAACAATTATTAGAAAATAATATATATATTATACAGCGTCCGCCAAAAAATCAGCAACGCTTCTTGCTTAAAGTTTCTAGTTTATGATATGATTATTGAAATATCCAGGAAATTGTCAAATTTACAAATCAAAAATAACGAGAAATTTCAAATTTGATATGATATGTATGTTAAAATGTAGCTTAAAAATTCTAGTTTATGATACGATATAAAAATCATAAGGTAATATTATTGAAATTCCTAGGAAAAAATTATTAAAGAAGGAATTGTCAAATTTATAAATCAAAAATGATATGAAATTTTCAAAAAATCATATCGACTCTGTTTTTAAGGGTAATGATATGATATGTATGTTAAATTGAAGCTTAAAGAGTCTAGTTTATGATATGATATAAAAACTATAATATCATATTATTGAAATTTCCAGAAAAACATGATTAAAGAAGAAGTTGTCAAACTTGTTAATTAAAAATAAAGCGAAATTTTCAAAAAATCATATCGACCGTATTTTTAAGAATTTCGATATGATATGTATGTTAAATTGAAGCTTAAAGAGTCTAGTTTATGATATGATATAAAAACTATATGATAATATTATTGAAATATCCAGGAAATTCTCAAATTTACAAATCAAAAATAACGAGAAATTTCAAAAATTCATATCGACCGTATTTTTAGGAATTTTGATATGATATGTATGTTAAAATGTAGCCTAAAAATTCTAGTTTATGATACGATATAAAAATCATAAGATGATATTATTGAAATTCCCAGGAAAAAATTGTTAAATAGGGAATTGTCCAATTTATAAATCAAAAATATTATTAAATTTTCAAAAAATCATATCACCCGCATTTTTAAGAATCAAGATATGATATGTATGTTAAATTGAAGCTTAAAGATTCTAGTTTATGATATGATATAAAAATTATAAGGTAATATTATTGAAATTTTCAGGAAAAAAGTATTAAAGAAGAAATTGTCAAATTTAAAAATCAGAAATATCGAAATTTTCAAAAAATCATATCTACTGCATTCTTAAGAATCAATATATGATATGTATGTTAAATTAAAGCTTAAAGATTCTAGTTTATGATATGGTATAAAAACTATAAAATAATATTATTGAAATATTGAGGAAAAAATGATTAAAGAAGAAATTGTCAAATTTAAAAGAATCAAAAAAATGCAACATTTTGAAAAAATCATATCGATTTTGAAGAATCAAGATATGATATGTATGTTAAATTGAAGCTTAAAGATTTTAGTTTATGATATGATATAAAAACTATATGATAATATTATTGAAATATCCAGGAAATTCTCAAATTTATAAATCAAAAATAACGAGAAACTTCAAAAATTCATATCGACCGTATTTTTAGGAATTTTGATATGATATGTTTATTAAAATGTAGCCTAAAAATTCTAGTTTATGATACGATATAAAAATCATAAGGTAATATTATTGAAATTCCTAGGAAAAAATTATTAAAGAAGGAATTGTCAAATTTATAAATCAAAAATGATATGAAATTTTCAAAAAATCATATCGACTCTGTTTTTAAGGGTAATGATATGATATGTATGTTAAATTGAAGCTTAAAGAGTCTAGTTTATGATATGATATAAAAACTATAATATCATATTATTGAAATTTCCAGAAAAACATGATTAAAGAAGAAGTTGTCAAACTTGTTAATCAAAAATAAAGCGAAATTTTCAAAAAATCATATCGACCGTATTTTTAAGAATTTCGATATGATATGTATGTTAAATTGAAGCTTAAAGAGTCTAGTTTATGATATGATATAAAAACTATATGATAATATTATTGAAATATCCAGGAAATTCTCAAATTTACAAATCAAAAATAACGAGAAATTTCAAAAATTCATAATGACCGTATTTTTAGGAATTTTGATATGATATGTATGTTAAAATGTAGCCTAAAAATTCTAGTTTATGATACGATATAAAAATCATAAGGTAATATTATTGAAATTCCTAGGAAAAAATTATTAAAGAAGGAATTGTCAAATTTATAAATCAAAAATGATATGAAATTTTCAAAAAATCATATCGACTCTGTTTTTAAGGGTAATGATATGATATGTATGTTAAATTGAAGCTTAAAGAGTCTAGTTTATGATATGATATAAAAACTATAATATCATATTATTGAAATTTCCAGAAAAACATGATTAAAGAAGAAGTTGTCAAACTTGTTAATTAAAAATAAAGCGAAATTTTCAAAAAATCATATCGACCGTATTTTTAAGAATTTCGATATGATATGTATGTTAAATTGAAGCTTAAAGAGTCTAGTTTATGATATGATATAAAAACTATATGATAATATTATTGAAATATCCAGGAAATTCTCAAATTTACAAATCAAAAATAACGAGAAATTTCAAAAATTCATATCGACCGTATTTTTAGGAATTTTGATATGATATGTATGTTAAAATGTAGCCTAAAAATTCTAGTTTATGATACGATATAAAAATCATAAGGTAATATTATTGAAATTCCTAGGAAAAAATTATTAAAGAAGGAATTGTCAAATTTATAAATCAAAAATGATATGAAATTTTCAAAAAATCATATCGACTCTGTTTTTAAGGGTAATGATATGATATGTATGTTAAATTGAAGCTTAAAGAGTCTAGTTTATGATATGATATAAAAACTATAATATCATATTATTGAAATTTCCAGAAAAACATGATTAAAGAAGAAGTTGTCAAACTTGTTAATCAAAAATAAAGCGAAATTTTCAAAAAATCATATCGACCGTATTTTTAAGAATTTCGATATGATATGTATGTTAAATTGAAGCTTAAAGAGTCTAGTTTATGATATGATATAAAAACTATATGATAATATTATTGAAATATCCAGGAAATTCTCAAATTTACAAATCAAAAATAACGAGAAATTTCAAAAATTCATAATGACCGTATTTTTAGGAATTTTGATATGATATGTATGTTAAAATGTAGCCTAAAAATTCTAGTTTATGATACGATATAAAAATCATAAGGTAATATTATTGAAATTCCTAGGAAAAAATTATTAAAGAAGGAATTGTCAAATTTATAAATCAAAAATGATATGAAATTTTCAAAAAATCATATCGACTCTGTTTTTAAGGGTAATGATATGATATGTATGTTAAATTGAAGCTTAAAGAGTCTAGTTTATGATATGATATAAAAACTATAATATCATATTATTGAAATTTCCAGAAAAACATGATTAAAGAAGAAGTTGTCAAACTTGTTAATCAAAAATAAAGCGAAATTTTCAAAACATCATATCGACCGTATTTTTAAGAATTTTGATATGATATATATGTTAAATTGAAGCTTAAAGATTCTAGTTTATGATATGATATAAAAACTATATGATAATATTATTGAAATATCCAAGAAATTGTTAAATTTACAAATCAAAAATAACGAGAAATTTCAAAAATTCATAATGACCGTATTTTTAGGAATTTTGATATGATATGTATGTTAAAATGTAGCCTAAAAATTCTAGTTTATGATACGATATAAAAATCATAAGGTAATATTATTCAAATTCCTAGGAAAAAATTATTAAAGAAGGAATTGTCAAATTTATAAATCAAAAATATGAAATTTTCAAAAAATCATATCGACCGTATTTTTAAGAATTTCGATATGATATGTATGTTAAATTGATGCTTAAAGAGTCTAGTTTATGATATGATATAAAAACTATATGATAATATTATTGAAATATCCAGGAAATTCTCAAATTTACAAATCAAAAATTACGAGAAATTTCAAAAATTCATATCGACCGTATTTTTAGGAATTTTGATATGATATGTTTGTTAAAATGTAGCCTAAAAATTCTAGTTTATGATACGATATAAAAATCATAAGGTAATATTATTGAAATTCCTAGGAAAAAATTATTAAAGAAGGAATTGTCAAATTTATAAATCAAAAATGATATGAAATTTTCAAAAAATCATATCGACTCTGTTTTTAAGGGTAATGATATGATATGTATGTTAAATTGAAGCTTAAAGAGTCTAGTTTATGATATGATATAAAAACTATAATATCATATTATTGAAATTTCCAGAAAAACATGATTAAAGAAGAAGTTGTCAAACTTGTTAATCAAAAATATAGTGAAATTTTCAAAAAATCATATCGACCGTATTTTTAAGAATTTCGATATGATATGTATGTTAAAATGTAGCCCAAAAACTCTAGTTTATGATATGATATAAAAACTGTAAGGCATTATTATTGAAATTCCCAGGAAAAATTATTAAAGAAGAAATTGTTAAATTTATACATCAAAAATAATATGAAATTTTCAAAAAATCATATCGACTCTGTTTTTAAGGGTAATGCTATGATATGTATGTTAAATTGAAGCTTAAAGATTCTAGTTTATGATATGATATAAAAACTGTAAGATAATATTATTGAAATTCCCAAAAAAAAAATATTAAAGAAGAAGTTGTCAAATTTATAAATCGAAAATAACGAAATTTTCAAAAAAGTCATATCGATTGCATTTTTAAGAATCAAGATATGATATGTATGTTAAATTGTAGCTTAAAGCTTCTAGTTTATGATATGATAAAGAAAGTATATGATAATATTATTGAAATATCCAGGAAAAAATTATTAAAGAAGAAATTGTCAAATTTATAAACCAAAAATATTATGACATTTTCAAAAAATAATATCGACTGCATTTTTTAGAATCAAGATATGATATGTTTGTTAAATTAAAGCTTAAAGATTCTAGTTTATGTCATGACATAAAAACTATATGATAATATTATTGAAATATTGAAAAAAAAATTATTAAAGAAGAACTTGTCAAATTTAAAAAAATGCAACATTTTCAAAAAATCATATCGACCGTATTTTGAAGAATCAAGATATTATATGTATGTTAAATTGATGCTTAAAGATTCCACTTGATGATGTGATATAAAAATTATAAGATAATATTATTGAAATATTGAGAAAAAAATTATTAAAGAAGAAATTGTCAAATTAATAAAAAACAAAAAAAGCAACATTTTCAAAAAATCATATCGACCGTATTTTGAAGAATCAAGATATGATATGTATGTTAAATTGAAGCTTAAAGATTCTAGTTTATGGTATGATATAAAAATTATAAGATATTATTATTAAAATTCTCAGGAAAGATCTATTAAACAGGAAATTGTTAAATTTATAAATCAAAAATATTATGAAATTTTCGAAAAATCATATTGACTGCATTTTTAAGAATTTTTATATGATATGTATGTTAAATTATAGCTTAAAGATTCTAGTTTATGATATGATATAAAAATTATAAGATAATATTATTAAAAATTTGAAATATTTAACAATTCAAGTTTTATGTTTTTGGTTATTGGTAGTGTTAGTTCTAGTGATAGTGTTAAGTAAATTCTAGTTTTAATTGTTATTTAGTACCAAATTGTTTTATTATATATATAAATATACTTACTTGTCTCTCCGTTAAATCTAAAGATGCTGCAATTTCAATTCTTCTTGGTCTGCATAAGTATTTATTAAAATGGAATTCCTTTTCAAGTTCTAAAAGTTGGGTGTTGGTGTAAGCTGTTCGAAGTCTTCTTGGAAGACCGTTTTCTGATTCAAAACGAAAAAAAAAGAGAAAAATATATATAATTATGAATTCATATCAGATGCAATAAAATTACAATATCATATTGCGGAAGTGAGCTATTGCAGCTGTTTTCGCTGACTTTTTTCCACAACAATAATTCTTTTTATAACAAAAAAACTTTGTTTTTGCAAAAAATGTTTTGATTTCTATAGTTATCGTGTTAAGAGTATTTTAGAAATTGTAATTTTTTAGGAAGTTTTCGTTTTAGTCGATTTTGACGTTGTGGCAATCAGTGTCACATCAACTTCGAATCTGTCGTCGGCTGTCTCTTCAGTTTCCTGTATTCTAGACGGCCCATATTTACCTCCACGTACATCTATCATCCTTCAAGGACACATTTAGATATTTTTATTTCTGCTCAGAACGTTTAACTTGAAATGATTGAAATTTTAATAACGAATATAAAAGAGGTAACTGAGGGTAAGAACTTGATTGACGTATTTCTCATCAGTATTCGAGGCTCGTGATTGGACAAACGGAACTGTCAATCAAAAAAGTTTCGGTGCGCGCCAACCCCCGTTTCCGGTTTAGAAAATAGCCTCCGCCTCTAGCGGAGTTACGTGTATAATTTCTGAAAAGGGGGTCGCAAAAGCATCCCTCGCCAGTGGAACGCCACGCGGGGAATGAATCGGGGTATACGCTTTTTTTAAACGTTTTTTTTTCTTTTTTTAAGTTAAATCGCCTAAGAGTAGGAAGGGGGTTGGAAAAATTAAATGGAAATTCGAAATTCAACGTGGTTTGGGGGAAAAGAAACGGGGGGCGGCGACGGGGGTAGGAATTCAATTCCGCTTTGAATCGATTTTTAAATGCTCGTTCGACGGAGTATTAGGAGAAAGAGGAGGTTAAAGTGAGCTTGGTGTATTTAAAATTAATTGTTAATTTTTGTTTTAAAGACTATTTTGATTGAACATTGAAAAGAGATTGAAAAGAGACTTCTTGAACGATAAAATTGTTAGTTTTCGTTAATAACAGACTATTATTTTGTCATAAAGGAAGTTAGTAACTCGAACGTACAGAATCGTTTTATGTGGGTACATAATATCAAATTTAAATTATTTTCTAGGTAAACAATTTTGTTCCTTTTTTTTATTTTCCCTCTAATTTCTATTTATTTTCTATAATCCGTAATCAAAACGATATTTGGATCAAATTTTCTTAAATAAATCATTGGTTTATTAAATTTCAATCAATGGAAAAAAAAAATAATGGTAAAACTTATCTGGTCGATGAGATAAGTAGAAAAACCCACCCAAAAAAAAATCAAAGAAGTGCGGATAAAGAAAAAAAATTCTCCGTGGTTTTCCATTTGGAAATTATCTAGGAGCTCATTTATTCCAAACCGAGCCCGCCGTAAAACTTGGAAAACATTAGGAGGGAACGAGATCGGTTTACCTTCCCTTTTACCGTACCAAAGCGAGACGGAGAATAAGAAAAACAAATTCCCTGATAATTTGAATATGTGCCTGAAGAAGTAAATCTTTCGCTACAAGATGTTTTTATCGTCCTCGGTTACCCCTCCGGAGCAAGCAAGAGAGGGTAAAAAGCCCGTGCATGTAGATTAAAATCCGACGCCACCGAGTTAAATATCGCGGTGTTCTTTCTCTCTCCTCTTCGTTACACCGCCCCTCGACATTTATAAATCTTCGAGCCCCACTTTAAAGGGATCTCGTACGATAATATTTAAGTAAATTCCTGCTTCATATAACTTGGATAAACTCATTTTTTACTTCACTATATTTTAATTACGTATTACTAAGAAACAAAGTGCACGGTTTTCTCATCCATACTTTGAGTTAAAAAAAATTCCACGAGAGAAGAGATTGATTACAAACCCACACGAGTAAGAAATAAAATAATTACAACGCGTGTATCATTAGAAAACCAAGAATAATGAAGGTGGATTTTAATACGATGTATAATAAGAACAAGAGTTTTTAATTATAGTAACGATTCTTTTATTTTTTATTATTAACTTCATTTCAATACAAAATAAAGCGAAATCAATAAAATTCTTAGCATTTAGGGGTAGAAAATTTATTCAATTCAATAATGTTGTAATGATATTATCATAGATTTGTTGCATTGGAGCACTTTTACAAGAAAAATGCTATTTAACTATCTGCATTTTTAAGAATGTAGATATGATATGTATCTTAAATTGCAGCTTCAAGATTCAAAATTTTCAAAAAATCATATCTACTGCATTCTTAACAATCAAGGTATGATATGTATGTTAAGTTGAAGCTTAAACATTGTAGTTTATGATATGATATAAAAACTATATGATAATATTATTGAAATATCCAGGAAATTGTCAAATTTACAAATCAAAAATAACGAGAAATTTCAAAAATTCGCATCGACCGTATTTTTAAGAATTTTGATATGATATGTATGTTAAAATGTGGCCTAAAAATTCTAGTTTATGATATAATATAAAAATTGTAAGGTAATGTTATTGAAATTCCCAGGAAAAAATTATTAAAGAAGAAATCGTCAAATTTATAAATCAAAAATTATATAAATTTTTCAAAAAATCATATCTACTCTGTTTTTAAGGGTAATGATATGATATGTATGTCAAATTGAAGCTTAAAGATTCTAGTTTATGATATGATATAAAAACTAGATGATAATATTGAAATATCCAAGAAATTGTCAACTTACAAATCAAAAATAACGAGAAATTTCAAAAATTCTCATCGACCGTATTTTTAAGAATTTTGATATGATATATATGTTAAAGTGTAGCCTAAAAATTCTAGTTTATGATATGATATAAAAATTGTAAGGTGACATTATTGAAATTTCCAGGAAAAAATTATTAAAGAATAAATTGTCAAATTTATAAATCAAAAATAATATGAATTTTTCAAAAAATCATATCGGCTCTGTTTTTAAGGGTAATGATATGATATGTATGTCAAATTAAAGCTTAAAGATTCTAGTTTATGATATGATATAAAAACTATATGATAATATTATTGAAATATCCAGGAAATTGTTAAATTCACAAATCAAAAATAACGAGAAATTTCAAAAATTCATATCGACCGTATTTTTAGGAATTTTGATATGATATGTATGTTAAAATGTAGCCTAAAAATTCTAGTTTATGATACGATATAAAAATCATAAGGTAATATTATTGAAATTCCCAGGAAAAAATTGTTAAATAGGGAATTGTCCAATTTATAAATCAAAAATATTATTAAATTTTCAAAAAATCATATCACCCGCATTTTTAAGAATCAAGATATGATATGTATGTTAAATTGAAGCTTAAAGATTCTAGTTTATGATATGATATAAAAATTATAAGGTAATATTATTGAAATTTTCAGGAAAAAAGTATTAAAGAAGAAATTGTCAAATTTAAAAATCAGAAATATCGAAATTTTCAAAAAATCATATCTACTGCATTCTTAAGAATCAATATATGATATGTATGTTAAATTAAAGCTTAAAGATTCTAGTTTATGATATGGTATAAAAACTATAAAATAATATTATTGAAATATTGAGGAAAAAATGATTAAAGAAGAAATTGTCAAATTTAAAAGAATCAAAAAAATGCAACATTTTGAAAAAATCATATCGATTTTGAAGAATCAAGATATGATATGTATGTTAAATTGAAGCTTAAAGATTTTAGTTTATGATATGATATAAAAACTATACGATAATATTATTGAAATATCCAGGAAATTTTTAAATTTATAAATCAAAGATATGAAATTTTCAAAAAATTATATCGACTGCATTTTTAAGAATTTTCATATGATATGTATGTTAAATTGTAGCTTAAAGATTCTAGTTTATGATATGATATAAAAACTATAAGGTAATATCATTGAAATTTTCAGGAAAACAGTATTAAAGAAGAAATTGTTAAATTTAAAAATCAGATATATCGAAATTTTCAAAAAATCATATCTACTGTATTCTTAAGAATCAAGATATAATATGTATGTTAAATTACAGCTTAAAGACTCTAGTTTATGTTATGATATAAAAACTATATGATAATATTATTGAAATATCCAGGAAATTGTCAAATTTACAAATAAAACAAAGAGAAATTTAAAAAATTCGCATCGACCGTATTTTTAAGAATTTTTATATGATATGTATGTTAAAATGTAACCTAAAAATTCTAGTTTATGATACGATATAAAAATCATAAGGTAATATTATTGAAATTCCTAGGAAAAAATTATTAAAGAAAAAATTGTCAAATTTATAAATCAAAAATAATGTGAAATTTTCAAAAAATCATATCTACTCTGTTTTTAAGGGTAATGCTATGATATGTATGTTAAATTGAAGCTTAAAGATTCTAGTTTATGATATGATATAAAAACTATATGATAATATTATTAAAATATCCAGGAAATTGTCAAACTTACAAATCAATAATAACGAGAAATTTCAAAAATTCGCATCGACCATATTTTTAAGAATTTCTATATGATATGTATGTTAAAATGTAGCCTAAAAATTCTAGTTTATGATACGATATAAAAATCATAAGGTAATATTATTGAAATTCCTAGGAAAAAATTATTAAAGAAGAAATCGTCAAATTTATAAATCAAAAATAATGTGAAATTTTCAAAAAATCATATCTACTCTGTTTTTAAGGGTAATGCTATGATATATATGTTAAATTGAAGTTTAAAGATTCTAGTTTATGATATGATATAAAAACTATATGATAATATTATTGAAATATCCAGGAAATTGTCAAATTTACAAATCAAAAATAACGAGAAATTTCAAAAATTCGCACCGACCGTATTTTTAAGAATTTTGAGATGATATGTATGTTAAAATGTGGCCTAAAAATTCTAGTTTATGATACGATATATAAATTTTAAGGTAATGTTATTTAAATTCCCAGGAAAAAATTATTAAAGAAGAAATTGTCAAATTTATAAATCAAAAATATGAAATTTTCAAA